TCAGCACCATCACTTTCGTTATTTCAGCTTTTTTCTGCGAAAATTGGCATTTTCCTGCATTTTTCCACGAATCCATCCGAAAAAAAAAAAAATTCATGAACTGGCCTGGTGCGGGAATCGCTGAATTGAGGACCAGGAAAACTAGGAGGCTAAAATTTTAAGAGGATATTCTCAGCTCGTGTACAACTTAAAGGTTTCAGACTCAGACCCTATATTTTTGGTTTTTTCCCTCTTTTACCATCACGTTTTCAGCACCAGTTACTTCTTTTCCATTTCATACGACTGCATGCATAACTATTTTTTATTTTACTCTTCAAATCTGTTCATTTTTAGTTTTTTTCATCTACGCTTTCCACAAAAATGCAATATAAATGTAGCTTTTCCGGTCAGCAAACCTGCAAGTAGGGTTGTTTGAAAAGTTGAGGTTCGTTCACCGGTCGATGAGGATGCCCTCTGTACACTCGCCCCATCCTGTCGCGTTCTTCTGGGCTCGCGCTCCGTAAAGTCCCGTCCGTTTCACGTACAACAACTGAACGTATCTATAAATCTCATAAATCTATAAATCTATAAATCTATAAATTTTCAAATCTCCCTTTGGGGGGAAGTTACCCGAACTTACCCGAACTCCAAGGCCGAACGAAAGATCGGTGAAGACAAATTTGCTCTCATCAAAACAATCCAGTTCTGGATCTTTTGCCAGGATCACAGTCGAACTGCAACGTGGCTCCAGCACCGGCACAAACTGGAGAAAATGCTCACCAATGTTCCGCATACTTTTCACTGTCTGAAAAAAGACATCTCCAAATATATATTCTAAATCTGAGCAAAAACAATAAAAACTCCCTTTGTCTCCTGCTCCTCTCCGATAGACTTCAGTTATTTAGACCATTATTATGCGCTGGCAGTATAAAACGCATATTGTCACGGGATTGCCTATATGTGTTTGTGTGTGTGTTTGTGTGTGTGTTCGTGTGTGTGTTTGTGTGTATTTGTCTGTGTGTGTTTGTGTGTGTGTTTGTGTGTGACGTTTGTGTGCG